ACTTAAGCCCTGGCATCAGCTCCTCATTTTCCCCCCTCCCTCCCCCCCCCTCTCATGAACCTTTGATAATTTATAAATTATTATTTTGTCATATCTTGCCCTGTCCGATGTCTCCCTTCACATCGTTCTTTCTAGCCATTTACTTTCCATTGAGCCCTTGGGATCAGCTCCTCTTTTTTTTCCTCGCCCCCACCCCCACCCGCCTGCCACCCTGCCAACCCTCATGGCCCCTTGATAGATTGTAGATGAATTATTTTCAAATCTCACACCGCCTGCTGTCTCCTTTCTCCTCTGGTTTCTGTTGTTCTTCCCCCTGGATGGGGGTATGTGGTTATGTGCCACTCATTGCGATCTGTCCGCCCCCTCTCACACACCCCCCCCACTTCCCCCTACCTTTTTGGTATCTCTGTTCCCATTCCTGTTCCTGGGTTCCATGTGTTGTGAGTTTTATGTCTCGCCTATACCTATGGACATGCTCCCATCTAGTCCAGAGTGGGAAGCGGCACTGGGGTCATGATAGTGTGGTTGAGGAAGTCTCAAGGAACAAGAGGCATATTGCGTGATCCATTAGTGCTCTACTGCACCCTGGTTGACTCATCCCCTCCCTGTGACCCCTCTGTAGGGGGATGTTCCATTGTCCACAGATGGGCTTTGGTTCTCCACTCCAACCCTCCGCCATTCTTACCAATGCATTTTTGTTTGTTTGTTTACTTTTTGTTGTGAATCTTCTGATGCCCATTGCCCAGTCTCGATGACACTTCATGATCGCACCAGCTGGTGTGCTTCTTACACATGGGCTTGTTGCTTCACTGTTGGATGGCCCCTTGTTTAACTTCAAGCCTTCAAGACCCCAGACACTATATCTTTTAATAGCCGGGCACCATCCTCTGTCTTCACCACATCTGCTTATGCACCCATTTTGTCTTCAGTTATCAAATGGGGTTGGGGTGGGTGAGCATCACAGAATACCAATTTGTTAGAACTAAGTGTTCTTGTATTGAGGGAAGGTATGAGCTGAGGCCTGAGAGGCCTGTCTGCAGCCTCAGTGTATTGCCTTATATATATATGTACATAGGTCAATACCTCTATTGTTATAGATTAATGTGTTTACATAAGTGCATAGCTCTCTTAATATCCCTATCTATGCCGTTGCTTCCTAGAGCTTGCTTCTGTTTCCTTTTGCCTCCTCCTGCCCCACCCTCACTTTCCCCCTTCTTCCACCTCTTAGTGCTTCCTCTCCACTGGCTTGGTGTTGCTCTGATACTCACAGGATCTCTACCCTCTCCTAGATGCTGGTTCCACTTCCCTAGTTGTTCCCATGTCCATGACGCCATCCGTTCACCACACCCTTCTCCCCACCTCCTTTTTCCCACTCTATCTTCCAAGGCCATTGACCCCATTGCCTTCTCCCCAAGCTTCCCTCCCCTGTCGGACCCATGTAAGTAGGAAAACCAGCAATGTCCCAGTCTGAATAATAAGAAAACTTATGGTTGAAAAAAGAAAAGGAGAAAGAAAAAGACGAGAAAAATAAAATACCCTACATAGGTCCAGGTCTATTCGCTGGTCCCCATGAGACCCTCCCCCCTGTTCCTGGGGGAGATCCAGGGACTGCCTGCCCCTTCTCACCCATTTTTGGGGCTCCTCAGGGGCTCTGTGACTCAGCTTTACTCCAATTGCTGATCTGTTATGCTCTATTCCCACACTGTCTTCCTGCCGTTGTCCCCATTATTGTCCCCTGTCACCGTATGCTCCAGTTAGGGGTCACATGTCTTGAGTTGTTGGCAGTCCCACAATCTTCTCTGTGCCTTAGCAGCTCCATGCAGGGGCCTCATCCTCTGGGCTTGGTGTGCCCATATGGAGTCCAGGCCAACTGTCCCTTTCTCTTTGTCCTTCTTGGTTTACTTCCGTGTGGGCACGGTAAGTCAGTTCCTTTCCCCCACCTGAAGGTCTAGTGTTGTTCTCTGCAGCACACACTTCCAAGACAGGGGTCAGGCTGGCTCTGGTTAGGGCTGGCCCTGTAGTCCAGTCTTTTCATGCATTCCTCCGCATGGTTACGTTGCCCTTCTGGTTTGGTGTGCCATGGTGGGGTCTGTATGCACATTCCAATTCTGTGGAGACACAACCAATACTCTCCCCCTGGGTGGGTTAGTGCCCTGTTCCCCCCATGTCATCATCTCCGTTTCTCCCCACCATTCTCCCTCTTCCTTCCCCCTTTCCCTATGTACCTCCCTGGGTTTGGTCTGACCACCACCCAACTGCTTGTGCCTCCATATTGTGAGATAGGTGTCTTTTCTTCTATTCCTGCTGTGCTGATTGTACTTACCTCAGGGGACTCATGTTATGCTTGTCCTTTTGAGTTTGGCTTACCTCACTTAACATAATTCCTTCCAACTCTTCCCATGAAATGACGTGTTTCATGTGATCGTCCGTGATTTTCAGTGCTGCATAGCACTCCAATGTGTGTATGTGCCAGAGTTTACTAATCCACTCATCTATCGATGAAAATTTAGGTTATTTCCAACTCTTTGCAACTGTGAATTGTGCCACAATGATCTTTGGAGCGCAGATGACTGGTCGTGTTTTATTTCTTATCTCCTCTGAGTGCATGTCCAGTAGAGGGATGGCTGGGTCATAAAGTAGATCAATATCCATTTTCTTTAAGTATCGCCAGATCAATTTCCACAGTGGCTGTACATATCTACATGACCACCAGCAGTGGAGGAGAGTTCCTATTTCACCACACCCACTCCAACATCTGTTGACCTCTGATTTTCTGACTTTGGCTAAACTCAGGAGTGTTAAATGGCATCTCATAGTTGATTTAATTTGCATTTCCCTTATGTTAGCCATGTTTACAAGAAATTGTTTCTTTTAAAATCACTCTTACTCAAATATTTTAAAATAAACAATACTTGAGATACCATTTCATAACATAAGAAAATATACTGAAATATTCACATGTAAATGTATAATAATCATTATAATGACATTTAATGGCAGATATGCCTTTATTATTATTACTGAATATATAAATTGAGCCAATAAAGGATAAATTGAATTTTTAACTAAAAAAAATTCAACTACAGTTTAGAAACACTGATCATATTCTATTTTGAATGTTTCCAGAATAGTTGTAAAGTATTTCTCAGCAAATTGCACATTTTTGAAGGGTTCCCAGGTCCAGGGGTATAAATGTCCAGGTTGAAAGCACAGGCCGTATTTCAGAGGTTAACATGCTAAGTTTTTCCATGAAAGACTGACTCTCTCTGAAAGGTAGAGGTTTAATAAGGTCTGTGGTAGTTACATAATCTGGTGTCAATTTGAGGAATCTGAGTGAAGGGGTGGAGTCTAGTCTGTCAATCAGATCATAGCTAATGAGGCCTCTGTGTGAACATGACTTTCTCCTGAAGATTCTGGGAACTCCTGTATTCCTCCTTGGAGGCAGGAGACACTCTCTCTCCCTTGGCTCACTCCCTGTGAGACATCCCTGTGGAGAAGACACATGGAGAGAGGCTGATGGAGCCAGACCTCTGGAGCCAGAGAAGTCACGTGGAGACCCCTGCCAGTGCTGAGATGCTTATAATTCCACAGGATCCACAAGTCTTCCCACCCACTGGTCTGTGATCTTCCTGCATTCCATGTCAGTGCATGTGTTTGCATGTCTCTGAAGAGGACTGATATAGGACATATGGGCTAATATCAGACTTATGGACTTGAACTCGACTGAGCTAGGATGTTTTCTCAATATTCAATGGCTCTTGTATATAAAGCTCTTTTTATACATATATGAGGGTCCACTAATTTGTTTCTCTAGTCAAAATGATAGCAATTGATTATTAAAAATAATCTTTTTTTTTTAAAGAAATGGATAGCGGGGGATCAGGGCACTAACCCACACAAGGGACGGTATTGTTTATATCTCCACAGGGAAAGAGGGACCAGACTTCAATCCGGTGCTCTAAGATGTGAATGCACCATGCCGGCATGAAGCAGGGAACCAACAGAGACATCTGCGGGGCTGATCCCAATCCTAATTATGTGGACAGCCCTCCCTCCACACAGAAAAATTCACTTCAGAGAACAGCACTGAAGCTACAGCCATGTCTGATCAGAGCACACAGGAGCAAATGAAGGGGGAGGAAGAGAGAGTGGAGCACATGCTGGCCCACCAAGCCCTGAGGACAGTATTCCCACTCAGAGCAGCCAATGCACAGAGAGGACCATATGGCTGGCCCCACTACAAGACACGATGTCCCTCACTGACCCATAGTGCTTACGGGGACAACACTGGAGACACAGTGTGGGAATTAGGCCAGATCTGACCCCACCACACTGAGGCAAAACACTAAGTGTGCAATAGAACAGCAAGGGGAACAGGGCAACAAAGTCCCCAGGGAATACCAAAAATAGAATGTGGGTCCAGGGCTTGGTGCCCCATGAGACTTGACTGGAAAACACTCCTAACGGTCAACAAACAGACCTTGAAATATCTACAAGCTTTTTTTGTCACCGGTTTTGTTGTCCATCCCTGGGGTGGACAACAGAAAAGTGGGTGAAGGGAAACATCGGCAGTATAAGACATGGAAAAATAATAATAATTTATAAATTATTAAAGGTTCATGAAAGAGGGAGGGGGAAAAATGTTGAGCTGATACCTAGGGCCCAAGTAGAAAGAAAATGTTTTGAGAATGATGATGGCAAGAAATGTACAAATGTGCTTGACACAATGGATGGATGGATGGATTGTGATAAGAGTTTTACGAGCCCCCAATAAAATTATTTATAAAAGTAATAATAATAAAAATTTTTAAATAAAATAAAAAATTTTCTGTTTAAACAACAACAAAAAAAGAAAGGGCCACATACAAGGAGCTTTAATGGGCTACTCTCACTGTTGGGATGAGATGGTCCATGCAACTCTGTCTTGTATGTTTTTCCCTTTGTGTGTTATACTCCACACATAAAAGAAAAAGAGAGGAAGAAGGCACATAATCTTGAAAACTCTCCAGCTTCTTTCCCCATCGGATCTAAACACTGGTCTGAGTGGTTACAAAAGGAGAAAAAGTAACATTGACACTGACCTTATTGCTTTTGTAGCACATGGGTTCATTTCAAACAAATAAATACATAATATTTTAACAATTTCTTTGAGGCATTTAAGATGGAAATTCTTGTTATTAATGTTAGATGCCATTGAGTGTGCTCCAGCTCTCAGCAGCCCTGCGTACAACAGAACTGAACCCTGGCTCTCCCTCCCCCATCCTCATAGCTGTTGTCATGTTTGAGCTCCTGGTTTCTGTCACTGTGCCAATCCATCTCACTGAGAATCTCTCCTGTTCTGCTGACCCATACATTACCAAGCAAGACGTCCTTTCCCTGGTCCCTCTCGAGAACACATCCAAAGTACGTAAGATGAAGTCTCATCATGCGCTCTTCTAGGGAGCATTCCCCTGTGCTTCTTACAAGACAGAACCCTTAACCAGCTGCATATTGTCCTTAATTAGAGGTGGCAGCCTAGTACTACTGTTGTTTTCTTATTATTATTAAAATCAGAGATTGTGTCTTCTAGGATTAGGTAGGATTTTAATTATTAACTTTTTGAATTCCATTTTCCCTCTGGAAAGGTTTAGTTTGTTGTTAATTCAATCTAATCATTTAATGTACATCTTTTTGTACATCATTGCTTATACATCATTCTCTTTCCTGAAATCTTTTCTGTGTGTTAATTTTTTTTAAAGTTCTTTTGGATATTTCTTGGCAAAAAATACTTGTCTTAAATAAAGTATATCTTAAAAATAATGATTTTATAAATAGAGTTTTAAATTTTATATTCTACTTACTTTTATAGTATGCAAATACCACAATTAAAGACAAAATATATAAAAAGAGAGAGAAAAAACCAGAACCCCTTTAGGAAGCAAGGGCCCAGAAAATATAAATTGTTTAAGAAAGAAGATTAAATAATCTTTGTGATATGCTTCAAACTCACTAATCCACTATTAATTCAATGCCAACGCATAGCAGCCCTATCAGACAGGGTAGAATTGCCCTGTGAGTTTTGAAGACTAACTCTTTGTGGGAATAGAAAGCCCCATCTTTCTCCCACTGGTGGTTTCGAACTGCTGAGCTTTCAGAGTACAGCCCAATACATAACCACTACACCACCAGGGTTTCTTTATATGCATACTTAATATCTTTCTTTATTGTGATTCCTCCAATAACCATTGCCATTCAAATGTGAATGGTACAAAACATTGGAGGACATATAAACATTCCAGAAAGATCTAAACTAAACCTCTGTAAACTCTTCAGCTAATGACCTCTTAGCCTACCATTCTCTAATTCGGTATTGTCACTACTAGAGTTAGAAAACCAAAAAGGAAGAACACACTCATAATTTAAACTGAAAGAACTCAAGAAAAAATTCAATCATTGAGTTTCAATTTTGAACGATTCTATGGGGGAAAGTATTGAACAATGCAGGAAGCATAAAAAAAAGTTGGAAATAATGCACAGCCACTGTAAAAAAAATCGAGTTGATATTCCAACATTTGAAAAGGTAGCATATCAGCAAGAACCAATGGTATTGAAGTCACACACACACAAAAACAAGTCCAAGAACTGATGGAATACCAACTGAAATATTTCAACAAGTTGGTGAACACTGGAAGCACTCATTATCTATGTCAGTATGTCTAGAAGACAGCTACCTGGTCAACTGACTGGAAGAGATTCATATTTGTACCTCTTCCAAAGAATGGTGACCCAACAGAATGCTCAAATTAAAGAACAATATCATTAATACCATATGAAGGTAAAATTATGCTGAAGATCATCCAACATCCATGATATTGTCTGAGCTCATTGTTGGCAGCCACTGTGTCAATCCATACCAAGCATTATATGCTTTGCCAAGAATTTGTGTAGCCCAGATTTACTCCCTCTTTGTTGTTAGCCTAACTCACATTATGACATTATATAGGGACCCATATTCGACCTACGCTGGCTTTCCTATTTCCAAGAGACAGAGGTCAGACATGCCCCATGCTCATAGGATATTGTGAATGATCCAAAACACCTCTCCTCGGCCAACAATCAAGTCTCTCTCAGGTCCTCAGCTTCTCAGCCACATGGGCCCATGACCTCTACCTCTGGACCAGGAAGCCTACCTGTTGCTCTGCTCACAGTCTCATAGTCACACTGCTGCTCCTCTTGCTCTGTCCCATAGTCTCCATGCTACAATCTCTGGTGCCTCTGGTCTAAGTCTCTGCCACTGCAGATAGAGATCTGAAATGTGTTCTTTCAATGGTCATCGGCTTTATCTCTGGGTCCCAGTTGTCACTTAGACATCGAGAAATGGCTTTGATGATGATATGTTTTTTGTCTTTTATCAGACTATACCCTCAAGAAAAACCAAGAATCATAAGTCATAAGTCATATCCTCTAGTAAGGTTGTCCTAAAGATGCATTCCATACTGACCCTGTAACAGGAAACATTCTCCAAAGTGGGATCATAGCCACAGGTATGTTACAGAATTATAACACATCACCTAAAGAATTATGCCTAGAAGGGCCACATTAATTGACTACATCTCACACACATGTTTGCCATATTCTGTGGAATTTTATAACTGGCTCTCTTGATCAGTTGGAAAAATACTGGACGTGGATATCTCCTGGAATAACTGAGAATCCCTCCTTATTGCCTAATTGTTAGTGACAGAAAGGCTAATTTCTACTATCTGATCAGTCAACTAAACCATGCTGAGACAGACCTAAAACTGAAAAACAAAAACAAAACACCTTCCATGTGCTTGCTCATGACCAACAACTGTTTCCTGTGATTATCTTGAAGCCTGAGTTAATGTAAAACATCTGTATGTGACTCCTGAAAGCTGTGAATTCCAAAATAAAAAATATTTAATCTCTATGTTTTCTGACCTCAACTGGGATGCCATCAAGACAGCTTGTGTTGCTTTCTGTCTCTCCACTTGTGCCACATTCTCATAAATTTCTCTTTTTCTCCCTAACTTAGAATTAGTCAATTGATTCTGCTGCTCCAGGGCACAAAACATCCTCAGTAACTCTGGTCTCTCCTGATAATGTTTCCAAAGTATATGACATGGTCTCACCATGCTCGCTTCTAAGGAGCATTCTGGCTGTACAGCTTACAAGAAAGATTTGCTTGTTCTTCTGGCAGTCTAATAATAAGCCTTAATTTTTTTTCATTTTAATCACCCTAAAAGGTATTCACCACTGAAACACAACTCTTCTAGAAGGTACTTTCCCAATACAGCTCTTCCTGGCACTTCTGTGTACTCCAATATAAAGCTCTTGCTTCATTTTAACTGGTAAATCTCCAAGTCACTGAACAATCCAATTTACATTTTTAATTTTTATTGTTTCCATAATGCAATCCCCAAAACCAATTGTACCCTGCTCTACCTGAGTAAAGTTAGCTTTTCAACTCAATTATCAACTAAAACTGGGCCGGATTTACCAGGCTCAATTTAAAACTGTTTCCTGATTATCACACAGTCACTCACTGGCATCTAGCCAATTTTGACTCAAAGCAATCGTACTAGTCAGAGTGGAACTGGCCCCATGCATTTCTGAGGCTGTACATCTTTATGAAAGAAGAAACCTTATCTTTCTCCCTTTGAGGCCCTGGTGGGTTTTTGAACTACTTGTAATTCACTAGGTCACCACAGCTTTTCTTAATTACCAGTGACCGTCTAATATTAGCCTAACATTCATCAGCATCTGCTGTTTGACTTTATGAGATGAAAGTGACCAGTGACTTTCAGATGAGATTGAGCAACTAATTGTAAATACATGCTTATTTAAAAAATCCATGTAGTTATCAAAAGATATAGCATCTGGGGTCTTAAAGGCTTGACGGTAAACAAGTGGCCATCGAGCTCAGAAGCAGCAAAGCCCACATGGAAGAAGCACACCAACTTGTATGATCATGAAGTGCCGAAGGGATCAGTTATCAGGCATCAAAGAACAAAAAATCATTTCATTGTGTGCTCACCTCCTCTATATGATCGCTGAAGACAAATAGGTGCATAAACAAATGTAGTGAAGAAAGCTGATGGTGCCCAGCTATCAAAAGATATAGCATCTGGGGTCTTAAAGGCTTGAAGGTAAACAAGCAGACATCTAGCTCAGAAGCAACAAAGCTCACATGGAAAGAAGCATACCAGCCTGTGTGATCATGAAGTGTTGAAGGGATCAGGTATCAGGCATCAACAGAATAAAATTTCATATCATTGTGAATGAGGGGAAGTGCTGAGTGGGGACCCAAAGCCCATCTGTAGGCAACTGGACATCCCCTTACAGAAGGGTTGCAGAGATGAGCCAAGTCAGTCAGGGTGTGATGTAGCAACGATGAAACATACAACTTTCCTCTAGTTCCTAAATGCTCCCCCCCACCACCCCCACTATCATGATCCCAATTCTACCTTACAAATCTGGCTAGACCAGAGTATGTACACTGGTACAGACAGGAATTAGAAACACAGGGAATCCAGGACATATGATCCCTTCAGGACCAGTGGTGAGAGTGGTGGTAGCGGGATGGTGGAGGCTGGGTGGGGTGGAAAAGGGGAAACGATTACATGGATCTACATAACTCCTCCCTGAGGGATGGATAATAGAAAAGTGAGTGAAGGTAGACTCAGACAGTGTAAGATATGACAAAATAATAATTTATAAACTATCAAGGGTTGATGAGGGTGTATGGAGCAAGGAGGGAGGGGGAAAAACGAGGAGCTGATGCCAGGAGCTTAAGTGGAGAGCAAATATTTTGAGAATGATCAGGCAATGAATGTACAAATGTGCTTGACACCATGGATGTGTGGATGCATTGTAATAAGAGTTGTATGAGCCCCCAATAAAATGATTTTTTTAAATCCATGTAGTAAGCCACATAATTCCTCACAGAAAAGTGTTATGTCAATGAATAACTCATTCTATTTAGTCACCCTCACCCTAAGCAAAAATTATATATGGGTAATGCATGCAGATTAACCCAGAACAATAATGCACTGTACCTTTAATCTGAATCCATGAAATACAAACAAGCGCATAAGTAATTAGTGACTTATTTGTAGTTT